CGATCCGACATCCAACAGCTCGTTCCCGAAAAGCGATCTCTTGAGCGCCAGCAGACGATGTTCCGAGTCTGACTCACGGGCAAGCTGGCGCGGTCTCCACTTCTGTAGGAAGTTGGAAGTCAAGCAGGAAACCACGTGCATCGGGATCGCTCTTCGTTGTGCGCTCTCGGGCTGAGCTTCACTGTGCATCGAGACTTTGCGGAGGACGACAAGTGACGGCGATGGAGGTGATCAAGACTATTACCGTAACCCGGAGAGAATTTGTGGAAAAGTGCTTCGAAGCCGGAAAACGAATGAGACCGGATGGCATGATCGACTTTCTGCTCTCATCTGGAAACTTGCATCGATCGAGCGTTGAAAATTTAGGAGAATTGAAGCTCAGCCTTAGCCGAAAGACCGCCAAAGTATTTGGAAGGTTTGAGAGAAGTTGGTGGGATATTTCAATGAACAACGTCCTCAAGACCTCAAATATCGTCTCCGCGGGCGAGCTGGAGGCCGGAAACCCTTTCCGAGTCTCAGGCCTCATTCGGGAAACGGAACTCTATCGAAAAAACCATCGAAATAATTTTGTCCACCTAGGAATTGATTTTTGACCACTGTGCGGCGTCTTTGACCACTCGTGTCGTCGTGATCTTCGAGTTATCGTTGTTCATCTTGAGAATGCTTGTAGCGGTAGATAGTGTGCCAATTGATTCCGCTGACGAGGTAGAGCTTCTTCCGCGGAGCCGTTGGAGAGATATTCTCTGATCTCATTATCAACTGCTGCTAGCTTTTCCGGGGTTTTCTTCAGCTTCTTCAGAAATGAATGAAGTCGCAATCGGGCTAGGTTTTCGTTGTCGCCTAGGGCCCTAGGGTATCGAGGTTGTCCTTGAAAGGGAGACTCAGCCTGAGTCGTCCGTCGGGTTTCCTTTCAACCGTTGCATCGAAAAATTTGTCGAGTTCCTCCGTCAGCGCGTCTCATTCGTCCGACGTCGATGAATCCACTCCCAGCAACTCTCCCTCCCACAGGAACTTCAGATCGTTGTCGATCGATGTATCCGGGCTTTCTCCGTGGTGCTGAGTAGGTTTTTTCTCGCACTCTGGGTTGGGTTTTCCCTCGGGGTTGGCTGATATCATTGTCGGCAATGAAGCTCTCAATTCGCAGAGCAGGGTTGAGGTGTCTGATGAGAAAGGGGATTCTCTCAGAGTTCCACTGAGAATCCAGCCGAAGATGGAGGATGTCGCTAACATCCTCCCGTGTTTTTCCATTTTCCCTGTATAAATGCTGGCTAGATCCGCTGCTCCGATGATGATTGAAATCACGTTCGGAGGCTCTACTTCTTTCCTTCCGTCGGCTATTGGGAGTAGTCCGAAGTTGTTGGTGACTTCTGGGAAGTCCGAATCTGTTATCGATGGGGTTCCGATGCATTCGAGTGTGATGCTCGACTTCGGATCGTGTTGGCTTGAGATGACGATTCGATGAAGCCATGTGTCCAGCGTCGTTATGACGTTCCCCATGGTTTTAACGGAAGTCCTGGCGGCGTTTGTTGGGACAGCTCCTATCCGTTTCGCCGCTTCCGTGGTGATGTAGGACCTGTGAGATCCGCAGTCGAGTAGAATTCGGGCGCAAGATCTTTTCCCGCCGGGTCCTATCCATGCTGTCGCTGATGGGAGTAAGATATCTGGTTCCGTTATGTCTCCACGGTCGTCGGGCATCGTGGGGGTCCCGGACGTTAAGAGGAAAGATGAGGTATCCAGTTGTGCCTTCTTGCACATGATGATGCAATGTTTCTCTTACATTTCGAGCAGTTCGTCTTCGGACCGTCTCGACATTTTTTCGATGCGTGCTTTCTTTTCAGGCAAATCCAGCAGGCGTTTCGTCGAATGACCCGTTCGCGGCGTTCCTCGTACGTCAGCGTCGCTTTGCATCTAAAACTGTCGTGGTCGTACCCACAGAAAATGCACGACTTATCGATTTTTTGTTGAGTATTTTTTGTCGTGTTCGGGTTCCTGTTGGCAGGATTGCCCACGAAGAAGTTATTGGTATTCCTGTGGAGTGCGTTCGTATGCGGCTGGAAGTATCGAGGTTTAGTCGGAGCTGATATGTTTGTTTGCTTCGCGTAGCTGAAAGGTGGTTTCCTTTGTTGCCCGTGGTAACGGTTTCCGGCGCTTTCCAGCTCTGCTTCTCTGCGGACCATAGTCGTGTAGCTGAGGAACTCTAGCATGAATTCTAAGTCCGTCGTTAACGGATCTGTGAGTTTTCGCTTCTCTAATTTCTTGATAAACTTTTCTCTCAGTTCCGCCGGGATGCATCTGAGGACTCGTTGGATCATGGAAGTCGACAATTCGGCGTAGGTGTTGCCGATAACCAGTAGTGCCTTGACATTGAGACTGAGTGACTCCGCGAACGATTCTAGCCGGTTGATAGGGATGGCCCCTTTCTCCAATAGCTTGTCAATTTCTCGTATGTGCGATTTCTGTGCAAGCTTGGTGTCTCCGAAACCTTCCTGGATTATTTCCTTGGCCAATTCGTAGTGACTTTCCTACCATTGGAGGTGTGCGATCGCATCGAGAGCTCTCCCGATAAGAGAGTGTCTCAGCAGATTGAACTTCTCCATGGTTGGTGCGGGTGTGTCATCTACGAATACTTTAAACAGTTGTTGCCATTCTCGGAACTTTCGGCTGTCTCCGTTGAAGCGTGGCACTTCTCTCGCTTTTCGGCCCAGGGAGAAGCGATCTGAAGAGTGGGATCGCGTTGTGTCGATCTCCGGTTTCTTCTTTTCGCTCTCCGGTGTGTAGCAACGTCTGTTGGCGCGCTATGTTTCGAATAGAAAGAGAGTCTGTTCTTGAGTGTAGAGGGCGCTTAGGTAGCAGACGATGGAGAATGATAACAGAGAGAGATTCATTCAGAGTCTGATGGCGGTAGATGACAGATCGTCTCCGTGAGTCAGCTGAATGAGGAGCCGTGGATGAAGTCACAGAATCCTCCGACTACTCTGTGTTCAGTAGCCTAGAGAGAGAGCAGGAGAGCTTCTCACATTGCAGTGGTGGGATACGCGCAGTTGATATTTCGGAGAGACAGTTGTGTGACGAAGATCAGAAAAACCCGGCAACGAGAGGAAGATGTCGGAAGAATTCTTTGCGAAGTTGACCAGTACCGTGAAGGATCTGGTAGAG